AAAGACTAAGGTTTTCTTACTTCTAAAGTTGAGTAAAATAAAAAGTGAGTGACAACAAGAAAGTGGTCATTTTTGCCCTAACAACTGAATGAATCTTTCTCCCACAAGGATAAAATGCATAGGTGCAGTGCACCCACCAAGCAAAGGAATTAGTCTTCCATTGGATTTGTAATGGAGAGAAGCTATAATTCCTCCCAAACAAACACCCCATAAGCCTTTCAGTTTGTAAGATTTACCCAGAGGCTAAGTCTTCTGTCGCTCTTATATGTCTATTATTTAAGGAAAGGGATGTGTTCACATACAATGTGGTTGGTTCATATGAGAGGGTTGGGTATAGTTCACAAAGTTCAGGTTCAACCTTGAATATGCCTTTCTTGGATAATCAGTTAAAAGTCTCCTAGCCCACTTTGCTTCCTTCCCAGGTGTGGTACCTGCTTTTTTGTTTATCTATCTATTTACACTTTATGAAAAAGGAATGGCATTTGATACCTAACAAAGATAACTTTACCTATTCAGGATGCTGTTACTCCACTTTATGGGTTAGATGCTATTGATTTGGTAAACTCTTTCTTTGCATCAGCAACTGAAAGGGATATATATACTGTTAGTCTCTCATATTTCTGTTTTGATTTACCAATTATCTTAGGGTAAATGACAGTAATGGATGAATAATGGGAAAGTTAATCTTGTTTTTTTTATAAGAAAAAATTGCAAAACTGGCTACCACATGGGGCCAAATTCTTTTGTACATGGTAGATATCTTAGTTGTGTTTTCTTGACTATATTGTTTAGGTCCTGTAGGGTGACAAGTTGGAGATGTTCATACTGAATGGTGATAGCACTAGATGTGAAGAAATGGAGCTTAAGAAAGACTGAATGTTGTTGTTTAACGAGTAAAAGGTCAGATTGGTCCTCGAAATTGCATAAAAAGGGTCAAATAAGTCCTTATTGTCTGGTCATCACCATTTGGGGCGGTTCCCGGTGGAATTTTTTGATGAAATTTTTTGAGCATCTTATTCATTAAGTCTAGTTTACTCATACCCAATTTCAGCTAAAACTTCAATCGAGAAGGCATTCAAAAAATTTCGTCAAAAAATTCCACCAGGAACCGCCCCAAATGGTGACGGCTAGACCGCTAGACAGAGCCTCCTATATAAGGACTTATTTGACCATTTTTATGCAACTTCGAGTACCAAACTGACCATTTACTCGTTGTTTAACTGATGTTTTAAATCGATGTAGTTTAATTTGAATCTGATTGCTTTCATGTTTGAGGTCTTGTGAATAATGTGACATGTACTCTTCCATATAATGGGAATCAAATCTAACAAGCATATTTGAGAATGTGACGCTTGTTTTAGGAGTCAGATGTTAAATGAACAGGACTTGAATGAAGACAACAGGACTTGAATGAAGACATTGAAGAGTACTGGATTTGATAAAATGGTGGGGAACCTCCTCTCACTTCATTTCGTTAAGCAAAAATTAAAATAAATCCCAAAATGAAAAATGTAACAAACATGTTAATACAGATGGAGCATTTCATTTTTTTTGAAAGTAAATCGGCAAACTATATTAATTCAAATAGTCATTAGCCAGCTGATCAAGAATACATGAAGGAGCCAACTCATAGAAAGCTCTACCATCCGACATAGAAATGGCAGCTCTAGCCAAACGATGAGCTACACGATTCACAGAACGTGTACAAGAATTAACCAACACACAAGCTTCATTGCAAAGCAAATGTTTGATATCTTCGACAATCAGGTCTTAATAGGAATCACCCACCTCATTAGCTAGTCGAGAGACCACTACCTGAGCATCTGTTTCAATCTCCACTTGCGTCCATCCCTGCTGTTTAGCGCATAGAATAGTATCCAGTAACCGAGAGGGAATAATTTCATTTTATGTTATTAAGATAACAATAGAAAAAATGGCACCCATATCACGGCAGGGCTTTTGATTTCCAAAAACATAAATTTTTTTACTTTTCCCAACAATATGACCCGGCACATACGGCTCCTTCCCAGGCGAGTGACCCGAGGCCCCTTTCCATCATTTGCGCAGGATTGAAGGACCACACGAAGAGAAGAAGACCTCCCAACCGTTGCCCATAGCCTCGGACGAATCTCGCCGCCGCCATCGCCTCCGATGAATCTCTCCGCCGCCATCGCTCTCTGCATCTCGGATCTGTTCTGCATCGGTGCACATTGGCACATGTTCTCCTGCCTTCTCGTTGCAACAGATCTGCTCGTCTCTTTCGATTGGTGCCGCCTTGTCTTCTGGATCTGCGGCCATTCCTCACTGCCGCTTCCGGATCCGTCAACGTTGGTGGCCGACGGCTCGGATCTGCCAGATCCACCGTCCTCGAAGTCAGAGAGAAACCAGAACAGCCGGATGACTTCTTCCTCCGCTGCTTGGCCGCCTCTGCGTGGTTTCAGATCCGGGCGAGTGTGGTGGGCGGCTATGAAGGTGGGTTGACCCGCTAGAGAATCGTATGAGGCTGTCTGCTGGGGCTGAAGGCTGTGGAAAGAGGGGCTGGGGTGACGCAGGGGAGGGGGCTGGGTGACGCAGGGGATGGGGTGACGCAGGGGATGGGCTGGGTGAGGCAATGGCTTTGTTGTGGTGGTTGCAGTCATTGGCCGGAGTTGGTGAATACCAGAGGCGGTGGCTGGCGGAGGTAACTGGCGTCGTCGGCGACAATGTCACTGTGACAGTAGGCGGGCAGTCACTGTGGTCGTGGTCACTACAGCGGTGTAGTCACTACAGCGGTGTAGTCACTGTGGCGGCGGAGTCACTGTACTGTGGCGGCGAAATCACTATGGCGACGGCAGCCACTTTGACGACAGTCACTTTGGTCGGAGTCACTTTGGCCGGAGTCACTTTGACCGGAGTCACTGAGACGGCGGTGGTGCCGGCGGCGGCGGTGCCAGCGGCAGCGGCTCTGGTGGCGGCAATGCTGGGGTCGGCGGTCACGGAGGTGCCTGGTGGCTGCAGACATTGACTACTAATCAATTAATTATTTAAAAGATATATTGAAATAATGAATTTGTTATTAAAATAAAAGGAATAACTGACTGTTAGTCACATTTTTGGGAAAATTTAAAACATGTTACATTGTTGTCTTTTTCATTCATTTTAGTAATATTGGAATAAAAAGGCCATAATATATATATATGGATAAAATTCGACAATATATTCTCTTTGAAAATCTTACCACGATCATTATATCCATAGTAACTAAAATGTTGTTATAACTTATATACTCTCTATGGTAATTGCAAATGTGATCTATGTGCATATGCATCAGAGGATGTATTTTTTATCTGTTAATTAACTTCTAGTCATTTTTATTTTTATTTCATAAACTTTCGTGTTTTTATGTTAGAGATTTTAAAAAAAAGGGTTTTGACATGAATAATACTAAAAAAGAGCTAATTTACAAAAAAGTGAACTCTTATTTTAATTTCCAAAAATATGACTAATAAATCCTTACATGTCTAAAGTACCCTTCATCATAATTTAAAAAGCTCCATCGCGTAAAGGGGTTAGTTCACTAATATTACCAATTAAAATGATTTGGACAAATATAAGATTTGTTTTAATACTTTCCAAAAAACAGACCTTCCGTGACAACATTTTAAAAATTGGACACGTATACCCTTACTGGCTACAGTATCAATACGCGGCAAGATGCTGGCTACTTTTCCAATACTCCGTACGTAATACTACGTCTCCTATGCTCCTGACCACTTTTCCATTCCTAAGATGCTAGCAAGGAAAAATAAAAAAGATTTTTGCCTTTTATATCCTTCATGTTTACGATTACGATTGTTACTTTATATTCAACTAATTACAATTACTTTATTTGATCGATTGCAGTTATTTGATTCGTCAATTTTACAGTTACCCGATCCAACCAGTTACAGTTATCTTATCCGATCAATAAAAGTTACACGACACGATCAATTACAATTCCCGACTAGTTATGGTGTTAGTTGTCCGACCAGTTACAGTTACTTGCCCGACCAGTTACAGTTACGTGCTGCCAGTTATAGTTACATGTCGCCAGTTATAGTTACTCGACCCGTCCAATTACAGTTACATATTACGATCATTTATAGTTACACAACTCGTCCAGTTATATTTATCTGACTCATCCAGTTACATTTACCCGACCCGTCTAACTACAGTTACCCAATTTGTCATCAAGTTACAGTTACTCAATCCGTCGTCCAGTTATAGTTATTCGTTCTGTCCAGTTACAGTTACCCGACTCGTCGTCCAGTTACAGTTACCCGATCCGTCGTCCAGTTACAGTTACCCGACTTGTCCAATTACAGTTACTAGAATATACAGAGTACTAGTTACATTACTCGGTTCAATAGTGACACACGTTAGCCACCCTGCCGGTAACGACCGATGGCCCCCACTCCCAACCATCGTCGGCAACCGCCACGGCCGGCCACCATGACAGTGACCAACCCCATAATGACTTCCGCCCATGACCAATTGATATAGTGACTCCCGCCCACCTGTTCAGTGACTAAGGCCCACCCGGTGACCAACATCTACTCATCATGTGACCAACGTCCCCTTCCAGTGACCACCACCCATCCATTCTAGTTACCACCGCCCATCCATTAACCGCCGCTCCACCCGTTCTAGTTACCACCACTCGTACAGTGACCGCCACCGCGCTTGCACCTACCCCTCCCAGCCCCAGCCGCCACCGCTTGCACCTACCCCTCCCAGCCCCAGCCACCACCGCTTGCACCTGCCTCTCCCCGGCCGCCAACATAGCACCCCCACCAGCCCCTGACCCGCCACCTGCCCAAACCCAGTCCCGGCCTCAACCTCAGACCCAAACCCCGACACAGCCCCAACCCCAGCCTCAACCTCAACCCCAGACCCAGCCCTGACCTCAACCCTAGACCCAGACCAACCTAAACCCAGCCCAAGCCCCAATCTTAGCCCCAGACCCCGATCCCATACCCAGCCCGGATCCAGCCTCCTCCCCCTCCCCAGCCTTTCATCCTCGCGCCTCACCTCCAAATCCCTGCCCCATTCCCGCCACCGATGTGTGTGCCTTCCCAAAGCCCTGTCCCAATCCTTGCTCCCGCATTTGCCAGACGAGAAATTGCGTTTGTCTCCGCCGCCGGTAAGAAAAAGAAGGAGATCGAGTGGGGTAGGGCGATGGCGAGATCCGTCGAGGCACGCGGTGATGGTGGCGGAGATGTTCCGATTGGCGGCGATGTTCCGGTTGGCGGCAATGTTCCGGTTGACAACGATGTTCCCGTTGGTGGCGATGAGGGGTTCTTCGAAGTTCGAAGGAGACCTGCGATGCGGAAGAGTGCCGGGCTGCGATGCCAAGAGGGACGGAAGTCAGATGCAATTTTAGATTTAAGGGCATTTTGGTCTCTCACGTCTTTTTTTCTCTCTTTTTCTCTCTTTTCTGTCCATACGGGAATGTGGTCTTATTTTTTTAAAATGTAAAGCCGATGATTGCCATTATTTCTTAAAATTATCAACATGACTGTCTAAATGACGTTTCTCTACCCATGTCAAATCTATCCGTGTATCAGTAATCAGTGTATGTATAGGATTCGAATTGTTTAAGATGTGGGAAGTTCAGTTCAAAATATCCACAACTAATTTCCATTTTAAGGATGTTTCACCGAAGTTCACCAATTGAATAAGGTCATGCAATCCCGATTTTAATGATGTTTCACCTATAATCTTTGACTTTCACCTTTTGTCAATAATCATCTCGTTGAAAATGAGTTGAATCATGACTAGAAGTTAGCCTTAGATTATTGGCGTGTTATCTTTTAGTCCATAAGTTGTTTTTTGGAGTGGTGGTTTTCCTATGTATGGATTTAGGGCGGATCAAGGATTTTAATCCAAGAGAAGCTAAGGGCAAACTTTTTAAATATATTGTACTCCGTATAATAACATAACTATGAGCATGTTTGTTAACATTTAAATTGGTCGAATTGGTTGATTCTGGTTAAATTTATGAAGTTCTGGCTGAATTGGCTGAACCGACTGATTCTTCTGATTTTTGAAAAAATTATATTTAAATAAAATAATTATATTTTATTTGTTATTAATAAATAAAATAAAAAATTATATGAAAAATAGCTAAAATGATCCTCTACAGTAACTTCAGCCAATTCAGTCAGAAAACAAACTAGAACCTTACTTTTTTTTATTATTACACAATTCACCACGCGCAATGAAAAGTTATGTGTTTAGTGAAAAAACTGGCTAATAAGTCTGATAAGCTGAAAAAATGAGCCATCAAACGGGCACTATAATTGCACAAACACCAATAGGGAGGGATGAAACATTCCCTCTTTCAACTTGTGCTTTCGTATTTGAACCTCTTCCGAATTTCCCTTTTTATTTGTATTTAAGTATTTACAACAATTATTTTATGGAAGTTTTACATTTAAAAATATATAATTATTCTTAGATTTTCTGCACTTTCATTCTTTTTTACCCAGTCGAGCCCCTCTCTTTTTACGCATTTTATACACCATTCACTATATCTAGTATTTACTACTTATATTTTGTGCAAAAATTTAATGTCTCAAACAAGTATATATTGAGAGAGTATTGAACAAACATAAATTTTTAGGCACGCACCTTATTCATATATACCGTTCTCCTTTAATTTCCCTACATACTTTTGAATCTTAGTTTTAATAGGTTTTGGTGTCATGCACCTATGAATCGATACATAATATATTCGTATTTCGATTCATGTCAAGTGATATGAATATGTGACAAAGTGATTTCGTTGGTCGTCAGTCGTCACATGCCTATCGATCAGAGCATCATCCTCATTTATCTTGGACATGCACGATACTAAAATAGATTTCATAGCAAAGTTTTGAAATTTCGAACAAATGAACAAATAATAACATCACTAGAGAACTGTTCACAAAATGATACTAATTATTTTGATGACTTTTATTTAAGTGATACACTTCGCTAGCTATTAGACAAAAAATAAAAATAAAAAAATCGACCCTTACTTTAACGTACCCCATGTAATCCATTCAAAAGTGCCTTTTCTTGCCAATCTTTGGCAATCTTTGTTATCAAGCCTTGACAATGCATTATGTATGCAATTCTTGGCAACTTTAGAAACTCTTATTCTCAATAATCCTTGTTAATTTGTTAAGCATGCAATCCTTGACCATCATTAGCAGTAGGCTTGGTGTAGTTGACGTCCTCGGCAATCCTTAGCTATATATTCATTAATCATTAGGGTGCATGAGAATCCTTTTGTGTCCTTGGCAATCCTTTCATTACAATCATTTAAATCAATCCTTCCCATTTGTTTTTATGCACGCGATCTACTATTAATCACATCTCTTATTTGTTTTATACACTAACTCAATTTAAATGTTTATCCAAAATACTAGAAAAATATATTTATATCATATCTTTAATCCATGCAGGTGGGTACGCACTCGTACCCAGGGCCGGCCCAGGGGGTGTGTAGGGTGTCCGACCGCACAGGGCCCAAAAATATGGAAGGCCCAAAAAAATAAATTAGTAGTAGTATTACTACTAGTCTACTACTCACTATAAGCTAGTCAACCCAATAGCGAACGAAAAGGTGCGGGACAAGCATAGCAATCTGCGAAAGAGGAAGCGCATAGGCCAAAGGGCATAACGAGTGACTGAGCGAGACGAGCGACGTGTCGACGACTCTCTGTCTCTAGGCTCTGCTCCAGCCATCCTGATTTCTAAGTTGTTGCGGCGATTCGGCCTTCGGACGGCAGCGGTATTCACTTCTTCCCATCGGCAATGGACATCCACTCATCTAGGACGGCGGGACTCCACTATTCTATGTAAATTCGTAACTAATAGAGAGTAATTGTTCTTTATGAATTAATATTGTAATCTGAGTTGAACAAAGTGATATTAATAGGTTCTTAGGTTGTTAAATTTGTTTTTGTTTCACTGTATAACTTTATGCGTAAATAATTTTTTTCTTGGATTTATTACTGTTGGTTAAAACTAGCAACTTCTATTTTGAAATAATTCTTTAATAAATTACTACTACTCCGTATTAACAATTTACCATTTAAATTGAAATAGCATTTCTATTAACGATTGAAAAGAAAGGTCTGATTTTTGTTGTTGCACAGGGCCCTCGTTTTCTCGGGACCGGTCCTGCTCGTACCCGACTGACAAGATGTACGACATCCCAAAAGACACCTATTAGAGAAATTTTGCATGACGACCCTTCAGTAAAATGTTTATTCGAAAAACAATTGTACAAAAAATATACTATCTTCCGTTTCTTTTTAATCGCAACATGTTGAATTTCACACTATTCACCGGCTCTACTTTGACTAAATTTTACGCTATTATTTTATGAAAATTATTTTTTCAAAAACATATTGTTCAATTCATCTCATTACAAAGTTTCAAAATCCGATTTTTAATTTTTTTTACTAATAGAGATTAAGTTATAATTACGGTCAAAGACGTGCATTGGCAAATGTGAAATGTTGACCGTTGCAACTAAAAAAGAACGGAAGAAGTACTCCGTATTTATCTGTTTAAGCCACAAGGGTGAGTACCATACGTACATTGGAGCGCACATGTGAAGTCACTGAAGTGTAATTCAACGCTTTGACACATGCGGGTCTTCCATATATTCTCACAAAACTTAGGTGCCCCTTGAGGACCAACTCAATAGCAATAGTTGGCATGTAGAGACAGGGAGGGGCTGGAGGTGGTCATGGCCCCTGCAAGGAAAAAAATTCTTAAGTATATATTATGTATAAATACTTTTAATCTATAGAAAGTATGTTGATATTTTAAACTTTGACTCCTGTAATATAAAATTCTTAAGGACCGGCCCCTTTAACCATAAATGTCTGGCTCCGCCACTGATAGTTGGATTATAAAAAAGCTTTCAACTTTACTTAAGATTTCCGGTGTAAAATATATTGGCTTTCAAATAGCTCCATGTACCTCATGTTTGCTCAATTCAATACCTAAATTAAAAGAATGTCCAAGTCACAATCTAAAATGGGAAAATGGTTCAAATTTCATTTTTTAAAGATCACCTTCTGGTCACCACCACGTCACTGGTAAACTGATGACGTGGACACAAAATATTCAAATAAGTCCCTGAACCTATCACAATTGTTCAAATCACCCTCCAAGCAAATAAAAAGTGCAAAAATTGTAACAAATCGTATATAAAAGTTGAAAAAATAAAAAATAAATAAATAATATCTCATAATATATATATATATATATATATATAATTAAAAAATAAGTATACTTGTCAGCCATATATTCATATTTTATATCCATTTTTACATTAATATTTTATGGGAAAGTTCTCGAAATGGGACTAAAAAAGTTTGAAAATTCCAAAATAGGACTGTCATGTTTTTATTCCAAAAATAGGACTAATTATTGCCAAATTTAGAAAATACTGTCATGTTTGAAGTTTGATACTGCCAAAACGTGACAGTAATTAGTCCTATTTTGGGAATAAAAACATGAAGTCCTATTTTGGAATTTCCAAACTTTTTTAGTATCATTTTGGGTAATATCTCATATTTTACTTAAGATTTCATTTTATATTTTTATGTTTTATTCTTTTTTTACTATGTATACTTTGGCATTTCGGAGATTTTAAATTATTACATATGAATTAAAAAATAGAAAAATTACAATACTTCAAAAATTAGTTATAAAATAAAAATATAAATTGTTTTTTTTTTGTATATCATAAAGTATAAATATGGTTTTGATGTATAATACAAGATAAAATAAATAAATAGGAATGGAAGTTTAAGAGGTGCGAGTTAATTGAAGAATTCCAACATGTGACTTTGAATTGACCAAAAAATATAAATATTTTTACCATATATTTGTACTTCTATCTTTATTATTTTATATTTATTGTTTCCGATTTATTTTCAACTTATCCTAACGTTGAACTTTTTTAAAACTAAGGGGGTTAATTCAATATGAATATGTTGAGGAACATGTTTGAGCTTCTAGTTGACAACTTAACAGGTGACGTGGCAGGTGATCGACCGAAGGGTGACCTGTAAAAAATGAAATTTGAATCATTTTTTATCGATTTAGTGTGATCGGACCCTTTTTTGTTTTGGAGGAACATCAAATAACGATTTTTCATTCATTTCAAAATGATTTTCTACAAATAATATATAAGAATGTTCACTCAGGAAGTACAATATGTTTAAACTTGGTCCATATATATTATATAAACATGAGAGGTGAGAGTGTGAGACCCTTCTTGTTTTAGCTCCAAAGTGATCAAAATATTAATTTGTAAAATCATTTTCAATATATTCCTAGCTTAGCTAGAATTACATCTATGGCGGCCAAAACAAGATAATGCTCTCCAAATTTATTACCATGTTAGTCACATGTTTGTTCATATTTAAAAGTAATCATTTTTTGAATGAAAGATTACATTTAGTCAATTTTAGGAAAATCCCGAAGTATATATTGT